TGGAGCTTGCGTCTCAGAACGGGCACCCGGAAGTCGTGAGCCTGTTGCTGGAGGCCGGTACCTTTGTCATAGTTGGGTAGCATTTTGCATTCTTAGGGGTATTAAAACCCAACAAGGAATAGAAAAGTGAATTTTTCATTCAATCCGAACCATGAGCTAGGTACTGGCACTGACCTGGTTGAAAAGCTCGGGGGCATCGGCTTCATTGCTGCCTCTGAAAACGGGCACCTGGAGGTCGTGCGCCTGTTGCTTGAGGCCGGCGCCCGCCTGGACTTCGCCGATACTTACTTGGCCAGTAGCCGAACTTTTTGGGCTTCCTTGTTTAGTGGAAATCCTAAGGTTTAACCTTTTTTCGTCTTGGTTATTGGAGAAGTGAGGATCCTGATGGTGGCACACCTCTGATGTTGGCGGCTCACAATGGCCACGTTGCGGTCGTGCGTCTGCTGCTTGAGGCTGGGGCTCCGATCAACTTGGTCAACACCACTGGTAGCACACCTCTCATGGCGGCATCCTACCTCGGCCACGTCGAGGTGGTGCGTTTGCTGCTTGAGGCCAAGCCAAAGATCGACTTGGTTAACCACGACGGCTACACTGCCCTGATCGTGGCATGTCACAGCAGCAACGTTGAGGTGGTGCGCCTATTGCTTGACGCCGGTGCTGGCATCAACTTGACCGACAAAAAGGGTGCCACGGCTGTCATCGCGGCCTCGCAAAACGGTTGCGTCGAGGTCGTGCGTCTGTTGATTCAGGCCGGTGCCCACCTTGACGTAATCAGCGAGACAGGGAAGACGGCGGTGATGCTGGCAGCACACCATGGCCATCTTGAGGTCGTGCGTTTGCTGATTCAGGCCGGGGCTCGTGTCGACTTGGTCGACAAGCATGGCAAGACGGCGCCGATTTATGCATCACAGCACGGCCACGTGGAGATCGTAGATATCTTGCTTGAGGCGGGGGCTCGCGTCGACTTGGCCAACGAGGATGGTAGCACAGCTCTGCTGGCGGCAGCCTTTCTTGGCCACGTTGAGGTCGTTCGTGTCTTGCTTAAGGGCAGTGCTCGCATACTCGACTTAGTCAGCAGCAATGGTTTCACCCCTCTGATGGCGGCATCTCACAGGGGCTACGTTGAGGTCGTGCGCCTCTTGGTTGAGGCCGGCGCCAGCGTCGACTTGGCTGGCACTGGCGGCGTCCGAGCTCTGATGGTGGCATCACTGAATGGCAACGCCCAGGTCGTGGGCGTGTTGCTCAAGGCCAGTGCTCACGTCGACTTGGCCGACGGAAACGGCAAAACGGCTTTGATGATGGCAGCTCACAACGGCCACATTGAGGTCGTGCGTTTGTTGCTGGGGGCCGGTGCTCGTGTCGACTTGGCCGACAAGCGTGGCAAGACAGCGCCGATCTTGGCAAGACAAAGCGCCCACACTGAGGTCGCGCGTCTGCTTGAGGCCGGCATCGACTAGCATTCAGTGTTTAGGGCTTCAGGGTTTAGGGTTTAGGGTTTTGGGTTTAGGGTTTAGGGTTTAGGGTTTAAGGGTTTAAGGGTTTAAGGGTTTAAGGGTTCTAGGGTTTAGGGTTTACGGTATATGGAGGCGGCATTGCCCGGCGGCACAGGGGCCACGTTGAGGTCGTGGTCCCTTTGCTCGCGGCGCGCTCGCGTTTCACACTTGGTATTTCGAACTGGCTGCTTCGATCCCAAGCACACAGAAGACCAAATCCTAAACACTTGAAACAAACCTTAAACCCTAAACCCTAAACCCTAAACCCTAAACCCTAAACCCTAAACCCTAAACCCTAAACCCTAAACCCTAAACCCTAAACCCTAAACCCAAAATACGTCGAGGGCTGAGGGTCCACGCATGCTGCTGCGGGTTTGGGGTTTGGGGTTTGGGGTTCAGGGATTTTTTTCGGGCTTAGGGAGGTTTAGGCAGGTTTAGGGCCTCGTAGGCTCTAGGCTCTAGGCCGGCTTCTTCTGGCAATCCCCTCACACACCTGAACCTTTTGTCCCCGCCGCAAAAGTCAAGTCCTAAAGGGTTTAGGGTTTAGGGCTTAGGGTTTAGGGTTTAGGGAAATTACATGGCCCCTGAATATGGTCCCTTACCTTCTTTAAAGGGTTCTGAAGTATAAACCCCAAACCCTAAACCCTAAACCCTCAACCCCCAAACCGTAAACCCTAAGCCCTCTAGACCCTAAACCCTGATCCAAAGAAGCCCTCGTGCATCCGTAGGTCTGGAGCCGTGTCGTGGTGCCTTGGCTCGGCCTATTCTCTTGGTTTCGGCTCCCTTGGGATTCAAGGACTTTGAGTTTTAGGGTTTAGGGTTTAGGGTTTAGGGTTTAGGGTTTAGGGTTCAGGGTTTAGGGTTTGGGGTTTAGGGTTTAGGGTTTAGGGCCGGGTTTAAGGTTCAGGGCTTCGGGTTCAGGACAATTGCGCTTTAGGGGAAAAAGTTAGGGTTCGGACTATGAATGAGAGTTCAAGCTTTAGGTTTAGGACGGTGTTTTGAGGGCGTAAGGATCGTCGAGACGTAGGGGATCGAAGATTTCGGGCCTTGTAGGTTTAGGGTTGCAGGGTTTAGGGTTCCTAAACCCTGGCCCCTAAACCCTACTCCTTAAACCCTAAACCCTAAACTAGGGTTTAGGGTTTAGGGTTTAGGGTTTAGAGTTTCGGGTTTAGGGTTTAGGGTCTAGGGTTGAGGGTTTTCCGTCCCAACCTTCTCCCTCCGCCCTAAGCCCTCAAGCCACACACCTGCCACGAACAAGAAACAACACCTAGTCACCCCTAAGGATCTATTTCGGGTTTGGGGTTAAGGGTTTCGGGCTTACGGCTTGGGGTTAAGGATGGCTCCACTACCTTGACGAAGGTCCGTAGAAGGACTTTCGGACATGGCAGATGCCTTTTTTTCAACCGCCTGCAGCCCATGTTTGCCAGGAACGTTGCAAACAAGCACGCCCCCTAAAGCGTAAACCCGAAGGCCTTTACCATTATTTGCATGCTTAAGAAGCCCCCAACAAATAGAAATTGTAATCCTGCTATTGCCCTTGTAAGGAAGAACATCTCCTTTCTGTAGGGGGGGTTCTTATTCAACAAGACGTAGGTTGCCCAGAGAGCCCAACATCCCTTAATTCAGAATATTTCTTAGATCATAGGTGATGTTTTGAGGTACATCCCTTAACAGAGGGGTATTGGGCTCGCTGAGTCGAGCCTAAACGGGTTTAGGGTTTAGGGTTTAGGGTTTAGGGCTTTGGTTGCAGTGGATGGAGTCCTCTTGAAAAATTGCCACCTTCGGCCTTCGACACGTCGAATCTCGGTATTTTGGCGCCCTTTTTAGGGTTAGGGTTTGGGGTTCAGGGTTTAGGGTTTGGGTTTTGGGTGTTGGGTTTGGGGTTTGGGGTTGTAGGGTTTGGGGGCGCCCATGTTTGTTTTACCTGTCCTTGCTTCCACTCCACCGGCATGCCTGGGCCCTTGACTATGTCATCATGTGCCCGAACTGTACACTGCAAACCAAAACCTAGACCCTAAACCCCAAACCCCAAACCCTAAACCCCAAACCCCAAACCCCAAACCACCCCAAACCCCAAACCCCAAACCCCAAACCACCCCAAACCCCAAACCCCAAACCACCCCAAACCCCAAACCCCAAACCCCAAACCCCAAACCACCCCAAACCCTGAACCTCCCCCAAGCTTTTGCGCAGCCTGCAAAAGGTGCACGGCAAGGACTGCCCTCCCGGAAGAGACTTCCACGCCGCCGTGCTCCGGAAGGCGCTTCCGGGGGCGGCCGCCGGGAGACCCTAAACCCTAAACCCGAAGCCCTAAACCCTAAGCCCTAAACCCTAAACCCTAAACCCTAAACCCTAAACCCTAAACCCCAATCCCTAAACCCTAAACCCTAAACCCCAAACCCTAAACCCTAACCCTAAACCCTAAACCCTAGATTCAGCTTTTGCGTGACCATCTCCAATTGCCGACGACGATGCCTGGGTGCAGCGAGGCAGTAAGGTAACATTTAAGTCTTGTATAATCCTAGCATAATTGAAAGGTTGATACCCTCTGGTTCAGGGTACCCTGAACAACCTAAACCTAAACCTTAAGCCCTTGGCCTTTCGACCCTCCTCGTGCGAGTGTGACTGTCCAAACCCTAATAACCTAATATTAACCCCTATGATCAACCGTCAGAGTATCCATAAATCTGATGTGCACAGACTAGCAATATGATGCATTTAACAGCACTGTAGTGTAACTGTAGGCACCACTGCCCGACATGTCTGGTTCTGGTGGTGACTGGTGGCGACTGCCGGACGGCAGCCCGGATCCCTGGCGAAAGCGTGGCCAGGGCTCCAAGAGGCAGGAAGTCAGGGAGCGCCGTATTCCAAAAAAAGTCTGTTTGGGATGTTTGCGAAAAGGATGCTGCGAAGTGGACAGTTGATGATGCCATGCGAACTATCACAGTTCTCCTGTGCGGCTATGTTGCGGATTCTTCGGACACAACCCTAAACCCTAAACCCTAAATTCGAGGGTTGAGGGTCCAGGGCTTAGGGGCTGAGAGTCTTTTGGGTACGTGGTTCTTACCATGAACGTTAAACCCTAAGCACTAACCCCTAAACCCTACACCCTAGCCCTAGACCCTAAACCTCGAACCCTAAGCCCTAAGCCCTAGCCCTAAACCCTAAACCCTAAACCCGAAACCTGTTTATGGGTTGAGGGCTTACCACCTCCCAAGTACCCTTAAAAGGAAGTTGTGGGCCCATCATGGCAGGTACTTAGGGAATCATAGAGGGGTTAAAAGGCAGGGCGGGGGTTACGGTTCGGGTATTTAGACCCAACTGCCCCAGACCCTCCAAAACCCTAGACACTAAACCCTAACCCTAAACCCTAAGCCCTAAACCCTAAACCCTAAACCCTAAACCCTAAACCCTAAACCCTAAACCCTAAACCCTAAACCCTAAACCCTAAACCCCAACTGCCGCTAGACCCTAACCTTGTGCGACATGCTGCCCTGGGAGGACTCCATGGTGGTCTTTGGGGGCTCGAATGGCATGAGGAGCGGGCGGAGTCGTGTAAGGGTTGTGGTTTTGGGCTTTTGGTTTATAGGGTTTAGGGTTTAGGGTTTCGGGTTGTAGGGTTACACTGTCGTTTCAAAGTCGTTTTGGGGTTCATGCTTTAGGTTTTCGTATTGTGGGTTTAGGTCGAACCTTAGCTGAACTTGAATCCTCCACCCTACAATCTGAAACCCTAACCTGTAAGCCTTAAACCTCTAAGCCCCAAAGAAGACCAGAACAGCCGTGCGAAACCTAAACCCGAACCCTAACCCTAAATCATGGGTTTCCCTACTACCCCCCCTCTATACCCCCTAGGTTGCCCCTTAAATAGCCTCAATTGGGTTTAATTGTCCCTAAATAGCCTTAATCATGGGCTAGGGGGGAACCCTAAACCCTACACCCTAAACCCTAAACCTTCAACCCTAAACCCTACGCCTTAAAGCTCAGAAATCCCATGCGAACCACAGGCGCCACAACGACGTCTTTGAGTTTCACATGGCGCCCAAGATTCCGCCCTGCTCGCTGAGCGCCGACCTCGAGGCTGGCGCGCTCAGGGTTTTAACTTAGGGTTTAGGAGCCGTCCAGGTTTAGCTGCCTAAACCCTGTAAACCCTGTAAACCCTGTAAACATTAAAACCCTAAACCCTCAACCCTAGACCCTAAACCCCTCAACCCTAGACCCTAGACCCTAAACCCTAAACCCTAAACCCTGAACCCTAAACCCTAAACCCTAAACCCTAAACCCTAAACCCTAAGCCTTAAAGCCTAAACTTACTTCGCTGGGATTCTAGACTGGGGCTTGACCGGTGGTGCACATTGACCCTACAGGGCTGATTCGGGCTTAGGGTTTAGGGTTTAGGATTAGGGTTTAGGGTTTAGGGTTTAGGGTTTAGGGTTTAGGGTTTAGGGTTTAGGGTTTAGGGTTTAGGGCTTAGGGTTTAGGGTTTAGGGCTTATCAAAACCGCCAGGTCTCTTCGGAGATCTGTCATGATCCTTGGTGTCACAGCCCCTTCTAGGTGTCCCTGGCTAAGCTGTAGCGCGCTCCCTAGAATTTTAGGCTGAGGGGTTGCCAGAAAGGACCGCTGATTTACATCATTTTCCTTCCTTCGTCATACTTGGGTACCATTTTACATGTTTAAGGGTTCTTAAACCGAATAAGGAATATACATATATATATATATATGTATATATATATATATATTTAGTTTGTAAATGCTATCCCAACCATGAACTAGCTTCCCCCCAGCTTGAGCTTCGGGATGAAACCCTGAACCCTCAGCCCCTAACCTCATGCAGAACCCTAAGCCCTGAATCCTAAACCTTCTTTGTTTGGGAAGAATTCGGTAGGCACAGCCTGTAAGAACCGCGCCGATGGTGTAGTGCGCTGGAGGTGACTCCTGTGCCTCGAAATTCGTCTCAGAGCTGTCATCCCAAGGGTTTAGGGTTTAGGGTTTTGGGTCTGAGGGTTTAGGGTTTAGGGTTTTTGGGTCTGAGGGTTTAGGGTTTAGGGTTAAACCCCTCCCAGTCCTAAAACACCACAGCCTTAAACCCTGAAACCCATTTGGCTCTGAAGCCCTAAAACACGGATGCCCTCAACCCTAGCCCTGACCCTTGTACTATAGGGGTCGGAACAATTACTACTAATATTCCCTTATGGTCCCTTTATATTTGTCCTATACCAACCACCCAAAACCAAATTCCAATTGCTCAGCCTCCTACAGTGGAGCCAGTCTTAAGAGCAATGGCCCGGACTTGCCGATGGATCGCCTGCTGGCGGGGACCGCAGCAATTGCTGACAGAACCTTGGATGAAGGAGTGGGGATGTGCTCGTGACATCAGAAAGTATACAACTGAAAGAACAAGCTAGGATTTGCTGAAGAACCCCAAACAAATATGAAAGAAGAATCCCTGTCTTGCCCTTATAAGGAAGAATGTTTTTTTTTTTTTTTTTTTTTTTTTTTATTGGGGGGGGTTCTTAAGCAAATAGTAGAAATACTTAAAGTAAAGATACGAATAACGGAAATCGGAGGTTCACGGCCGCAGCACAGTGCTTTCGACCCGAGGCTAAACTTTCCGGCTGGTGCGGAACGTTGAGCCTTAGTCTCTAAATCAAAGAGGCCAAGGAAAGGGTAAAACTCCCTAAAGACGGGCCGGTAAGCAACCTGATGCCGATGTTGCGACCGCATACCCTGCTGCAAGACTATTTCGGAGACGGTCCACACCGTAAAGCCTCCAACAACTTCCCAAAGAGCCCAATACCCCTTAGTTAAGGAACATACCTTGCAGTAGCCTTGAATTGCAATGGGATCCTTAATATGATTTGAGGAATATTCCTGAATTAAGGAACATACCCTTAAGTTATAAAGGGTTCCTTTATGATTTAAGGAATATTCCTAACATTAAGTGGTATTGGCCTCTTTGGGTTCCAAACACCCGAAACCCTTGACCCCCCTACACCATGTAGCGCTTAAACCGAAACCGAAAACCTAACCCACAAAGCCTGAAGCCCTAGACCGTAAACCCCAAAACCCTACACGTACCCCAAACCCTAAACCCTAAACCCTAAACCCTAGACCCTAAACCCTAAACCCTAAACCCTAAACCCTAAACCCTAAACCCTAAACCCTAAACCCTAAACCCTAAACCCTAAACCCAATACCTTAAACATCGAACTCAGGCGCGAGGCGCTCAGAGTGGCAAGCAGCTCTTCAGGCCGTTGAGCAGTGAGCCCTTGAAAGCCTTTCCAGATTCAGGGGGTTGGGGTTTAGGGTTTAGGGTTTAGGGTTTAGGGTTTAGGGTTTAGGGTTTAGGGTTTAGGGTTTAGGGTTTAGGGTTTAGGGTTTAGGGTTTAGGGTTTAAGGGTTTAGGGTTTAGGCTTTAGGTAGGGTTTAGGGTTTAGGCTTTAGGTAGGGTTTAGGGTTTAGGGTTTAGTGTGTAGGGTTCAGGGTTTAGGGTTAGGGGTGTTGGCTGTTGGGATGTAGGGGTTAGGGCCTCAGGGTTTGGGATGTAGGGCTTCAGGGTTTAGCTCGGGACGTTCGGGAGTTTAGTGTTTGGCGCTTTCGGGAGTTTAGGGCGTAGACACCGCTGTGGGGTTGAGTTCTAGACCCGACACCTCTCGAGTTTTTGGGCGTTTTAGGGCTTGTACCCTGAGCCTTGAGCCCCCTAAACCCAGAGAGCCCGACTCCCCTGATCTGAGGAACTCAATTGATGTTAACCTCAAGTTTATAAACACCCCCTCAATTCAGAAACCCCCAAGCCAGGAACTCAATTATAAAACCCCCCCCCCCCCCGCTCGAGTAAGGAACCCTGGTCCGGGTGCCGATATTTTTTTTCTGGGCCCTTTTTGGGGTAAGTGGCGTTGATGATTCCCGGGGGCGGCGCGGGACCCGCCCGACTCCCGCCCCCCCCCACGGGTCGGGCGGAAAAACAACACGCAATTGGACGGGGGGAGGGGGGTGGGGGGGCTGGGGGGGGGGGGGGGGGGGGGGGGGGGGGGGGGGGGGGGGGGGGGGGGGGGGGGGGGGTTCTTAATTCGAGGTCAACATTAATTTGTTCAATTAGTTTACTTGATTTCATTAGTTTACTTAGTTTTTATTGATTTACTTTAATCACTTAAGTTAATTCACCCAAATAAATTAGTTAGATCAAACAAGTTGGGATGTCCCCCTTGTACTAACAGTCCTTAGTAGGGATTACAGTACCCCCTATTATAAACCCGTTAAAGGAATGCTAGTATGAGGGGGAACATCCCAAGAATCAAGTCAGTCAGTCAACTTAGTCAATTCAACTCCGAAACCCCCCCCCCCCCAAGAAAAAAAAAAGTTGCCCGCAACCCGGCGATGCAACTCGCCGCGCAAGCATGTAGGGTTTAGGGTTTAGGGTTACCCTAAACCCGAAACCCTAAGCCCTAAGCCCGAAACCCTAACCGGGTTTAGGGATGCTCCCATCAGTCTCGGTTCATCACTCTTTGGTGACTGTATCTATGCGTCGTGCTAGGACGCGCCTGAAGTCCTGGAGCTCCAAAAGCTTAGGGTTTAGGGTTTAGGGATTCTAACACTCTCAACGCCCTAAACCCATGGCCCTTAGCCCTTCAACTCTCAACCCTTTAGAGTCTAGGGTTTAGGGTTTAGGGTTTAGGGTTTGGGGTTTAGGGTTTAGGGTTTAGGGTTTAGGGTGTAGGGACCCTAAGCCCTGTGCCCTAAGCATCCGGCCAGACCTGCTCGGGCCTTCGCCACGCCAGGATTCAGGCCGCTCACATCCTTTTAATAGGATGCCCTGCTTCAGGGTTTAGGGTTTGGGGTTCAGCTTTCAGGATTTTGGGGTTTTGGGTTTTAGGGCATCCGAGTTTTATAGGATTCCCTGCTTTAGGACTAGGGGTATAGCTTTGTGGTACTTTACTGTAACTTTAGATCCTTACCCTTTTTGGGCTAATTGGGTTTCTTAATCAGGCAGCTAAAAGTTTAATTTTAGCTACCCTCCTGAGTGCAGCCAAGATAGGGATATCCCCTATCAGGCCCTTTAGGGGCATTATAAGTAGGGTTATAAGTACAGTTATAATTGGTTAGTAAGTACCATGAACCTTCAAGTAAGGGTTGAGGTTTTAGCATTTCCAAGGGCAACTGCCTGGCGTGGCTCGGCCTCTGTGTCTGGTCCCGTTTTCAATTCCTCCAGTCGGGTCCCCTCCTAAACCCTAAACCCTAAACCCTAAACGCTAAACCCTAAACCCTAAACCCTAAACCCTAAACCCTAAACCCTGAACCCTGAACCCTGAACCCTGAACCCTGAACCCTGAACCCTAAACCCTAAACCCTAAACCCTAAACCCAAAAGCCTATCTGCCCAAGCGAGGATCTTGTTTGGCTTGTTCGTTTCGCGCCTCAGTCAATGTATTGAGGGGCACATTCAGACCAAACCCTAAACCTTAAACCCTAAACCCTAAACCCTAAACCCTAAACCCCAAACCCCAAACCCCAAACCCTAAACCCTAAACCCCAAACCCTGACCCCTAAACCCTAAACCGGTTCGTCTTGTAGCCATGAAGGGCAACTGTAGACGGGAGAATAGGCATCCTCGGGTCCTTTGTGCGTCTTGGGGCGTTTTCTCGTGTGTACAGGCGCCTTGATTTCCGAGGGTTCTACATGTCACCCTAAACCCTATGTAGGCCCCAAACTTAAGGTTCTGGATGTACCCTGAGAATCCGGGCCTAAACCGACCCAGCCGGATCCAGATTGGGAAGAACTTAACGCCTGCACCCTAAACCCTAAACCATAAACCCTAAACCCTAAACCCTAAACCCTAAACCCTAAACCCCAAACCCCAAACCCCAAACCCTACCCCTAAACCCGGGTTGACCTTGTGGGGGCTCCAACAGCAAAAGAGACCGTTTGGCAACCCGAACCCCTTCTCCGATCAAGCAAAAAACGGGGGGGATCAGGCGAGGGTTTCGGGTTTAGGGTTTAGGGTTTAGGGTTTAGGGTTTAGGGATCAGAGTTTGGACGCAATGCTTAAATCCATTTTTAACGCCCTCAACCCAGACTCAAGG